CTCCTGCGTTACGTGCTCCAGAGTGAACCCCGCTTGCCAAAGGCGCGATCATCTGCTCGCCTTGCCTTCGTGCAGGCCTCCAGGGCAAATCAGTGCGTGGTACCCTACCTTGTAAACTTGACCCTGAAAATCTTTACGCAGACAAATTTCATCAAACCAGATGAATAATCCTGGTTTAGCCAGTAGCACCAGGCACACAGTTGAGGTTTATCGGCTTAGCAGGTTTAAAGCTTGCAGATGTAGCATACCCAGCTCCTGTTCCCTGTTTGGAAGTAGTGTAGTAGTATTGGTGTGGAAAATTCATCTTCCAGAAAGCTGTGGGACCTGTATAAAATCTGAAGTTCCTGTAGATTTATGCATTTCTTTTTACTCTAGGCATCTAGGCAAGCATCTGGTATCCCTGGGCTGGCTCCAACTGACGAAAAGTAAGTGGTTTTTGTCCCACATTGATGAAGTTCAGCATTGGCAGAGGATGCTATTCATGACCAGATACCCTCTGTGTTTCTCAGGGATGGCAATCTGCCAGATATCATTGTCAGCAGCAGTTTACATGAGTTTCTTGTGAACCTTCATGAGAAATATGGGCCACTGGTCTCCTTCTGGTTTGGAAGGCGTCTTGTTGTCAGCCTCGGCTCCATTGATCTCCTGAAACAACATGTTAACCCCAACCGGTTGTGTAAGTGTCTTTTATTTGTCTTTTGAGTCCATTTGTTCTGGCCTCACTGGGTATCAAAGGAAGAGTGTCAAAGGAAGTTGGGGTTTCATTCTACATTGAAAAAAAAATGAGACTTTCTAGCTGACATGGTGGTTCAGATATGACTTTGGTCCTGCTTACTGGACTTGAGTATCAGTGACCAAGGGTTACTCCTGTCCAGTGGCCATCAGGAAATCAGTATGCTCGTGTCTTTTACCATCTCTCTACATGCAGACATTCAGGAAAAGCATCATGCTCATTAGTCACTTGATAGAGCAAGGTGAACATCCTGTAGCCACTTGGCATACGTTTTTAAAGCAGTTTGAAATACAGTTTAGGATGGTAAACTTTGCTAAATCAAGTCTGAAAGCAGCTCTGCTTGTTTGTGATAACTGCCTTGTATGGTTCAGCATGGAGGTTTTTCAAACTATTATTTGGAAAAGTTCCTTACCTTTCATGTTTCTTTGGGTGCATAGAGTTTTGTGGTGAAAACCTTGAATGATCTTCCACTCTTGGAAGTGGATGGTGGTGCTGGTAGCTGAGTTGACCATCTTAGTCATAGGAGAGTATTTTAATTTATGGCTTAAACCTCTTAGGGGGGCATTTTGCTTCCTAAAGGTTATCTCACTTGATAAGTTGATGTTTGAGTTTAATCTCTTGCTTTGCCAGCTTTTATCTTATGAGGTGTGCAGAGGTGCACACCTCTGACCTGATCCTATAGGCTGTCTTTAGGCACAGGCAGATAGCTCAGCTCACTTCATGCTGGGGTCGTGAGGGGTAAGCTTCATGTACAGTTGCCTGGCAGAATCAAAAAAAGAAATGGTGACAATCTGGGAAAGGAGTGGGAGTTAACAAGTATCAGCAAGACACAGTGGATAACGATGACACTCCAGAAGGTGGAAAACCACCCTGAAAGATCTGAATGCTCTCAAGTATGTTTGGGGAAAATTAAGCAGTCACTTTCCCAAAGCTCAGAGAAATGGTGACAGGCCCCTGCACAGGCAAGTTCTCATAAATGTTCTGAAAATTTGGGAGGATCTGAGTATTGGAGAGAGAGAAATATGATGCCTGGACTTAAGTGCAGGAAATTAGGTGACCCAGGCAGCTACAGACTAGCCTAGTATCCTGCTATGCCAAGGGCTAAACATATTTTTTTAAGGATGTGGGATAAATGGGAAATGCACGTTGTACTTTGGTAATTAAATTTTTAGAAAAGTCAAGTGATAAAACTCTGTGTCAGGGATTCAGTTCAGAATTTGCTTGGATACTAGTAAATACTGGACTGCTACTTGAAAGGGGGATCAATGCTATATTGTCTTGGAAAAGCGCAATGCAGTGTTGGGGACATGAAATACTCCGTCTTATGTTACTGTCCTATCCTGATGGCATTATTCTGGAAGCCTTTGTCGGTACAGGGCAGCAGAGTGAGATGAATATCCCTCAGGGATAGCTGATATCTCACCCCTCAGGGCTGGGATAGCAGGAACAGGAACAGGAGGAGAAAAAGTGGGCTGCATGAATTGCCTGTGGGATGACATAGCCCTCTGAAAAAAAGGATATATTGAGTCATGGATTTTCTGTAAAGAGAGGACTTCTGCACAAAATGAGCATGAGTCAGACCTGGAGTTCTGTGTGTGGCTCTGACCTCTATACTCAGGTATGATTTTGAATAAAGCAAGTGCAAATACAGGCTGCCAGTGCTCTCAGAGGAGTGGGAAGCCTGTTGTGCAGGAGAAGCCAGGGAAAGTGTGTTCAGCCCAGACAAAGAAAGAGCTTCTGAAGGGATACTCATAAAGGCAACAAGCTTGAAGCAAGGAGGGTTCTTATGATCTCAGAGCTGGAAGAGCAGCAGTATTAGTTGTATCACTGCTTTCCTTTTAGAACTGATGCTTGCCAGAAGTTCTCAAACTTTATTAGAGGTGAGGAGTCTTACAGGCTGTATTTCCTGAAGCACTGAGGTATAGACTGAGCTGATTAGCTGTAATTGAGTAGCTGTAGCCATTCCTGTACCCTTTCTTGGTGAGTGGGAGCAGGGGTTGTAGTAGGTCTCAGCCACAAAGTGGCTCTGGGCAGCTTGAAGTTTTATTGGAGATATGGTCTTGCCCATATCTCTTCTGTGCACACAGTGCTGTGCGATAGGAGACAGCCCACAGTGGACTGCATTATATCCAACTCCTGACTCTTCATCCCCACTTGAAAACCCATGCTATGTGACTGTTCCTCAGTCAGCTGGAGTGCCTGAGGCCACCATCCATCTTCATGGATACCTGACTTTTTGGGCTGAGATAGAGGATTTGGCTCCAAGCGTCAAAGGTTCCTTTCATCTCATATGTGTGTCACAGGTATTGCCAAACTTCTTGGAGAGAGAGAGGTACAGATAATACATTTCTCATCAAAGCCTTGAAGCTGGACTAATTGGATTTGTAGTTATAAATATTTCCAATGCCAGGAGACTCGTTTTCCTTAGGCTTCAAGCACTGTTTGAAATTGGTATGTTTTCATGACCTCTTAAAGCTTGGTTGAGATTCATTTGCAAGGGGAATTCAAAGGAAGTAAAACTTTGCAGCTGGTACTGGTGATTCCCCCAAGTGGCTCTGGGGAAGCAGTTCAGGCCTACAAACAATGTGGATGTGAAGAGGGTGGACTAATTGAGAATTGCCAGGAGTTGGGGGTTCAGAGACCAACATGGAAAATTCTCCTGAGTTGATGTTGCTTTTTGAGTTGGGGCAATGAACCTGAATCACACTGAATGCTGGAGATGGAGCTATGGGTCCTGGCCCGTCTGAGCAGACCTCATTGCTGTTGTGTGAGCATTTTACTGTGCAGGTTCAGAGGTCCTTTCTGTCTCTGGTGTTCAGTTGTGTTCAATCTCAGATAGATCTTTTCACTGCATTTATTTGCAGTGGGCAGCACTGTGAGGTTTTTGGGATGGGGAGATTTCCATGTAAGTGAAAAGAACAGTTGAAATTTTGGTATGTGTCACTAGGAGGGGTGAAAATGTAACCCTGGAGATGTTTTCAAGACAAGGCCGAAGGATGAAGTCTGTGCAAGTGCTGGCAGAACAGAGCTCTCTCCAGAAGCAGTTTGTGCCTTGTGGAGTCACTAGCCTCCCACAGCTGTGCAGAAATAGCCTTTTCCCAAACAGCAGGAGGCAGAGCCAGCCCTCAGCAAAAGGGCCTGGGCTCTGCAGCCCTGAATGAACAGCAGTGAGTCTGTATTGGTGATGTGGGATTGCCAGTTTAGTCTAGGGACATTGGGAGAAAAAAACCCAGAGCCCATGGCTAATCCAGCAGTTTACTTTCATATGCAGCAGGAAAACTTTGCAGTTTCAGCAGGCAAAGCATCCTCCAGCCTCTCTAGATGCTTCTGCTTGCTCGATTTTCTGTGTGGGATTTGCCACCTGCCATGTGTCTTCCTGGCTGCCCAGTATTGTGCCTGGCTGTGCCAGTGCCAGTCAGCGGGGATCTGTGGCATGAATAGCAGCTCCATGACAAAGTACCTTGGAGGAGGAATTGTCAGCAGCAGCTCGAGGCACATAACAGCCCGTGCCACGTGGAGAGCCACAGGTACCATCTGCTCTGCCAAAAGACACATGCTCATGCTCCTTGTCATTCAAAGTGGGAAAGAGGGTGAGATGCAGAGCTTAAAAACATTGGAAGGGAAAAG